ACTTCCTGTTAATGAGGAAAATGAAGAAGCGATTGAAAAGTGCTACATATGTGGAATTATATTTTGCCTAGAAAGATTTATGTAACTTCAAGCGGAAGGGTTACTTCTTTTGCAAAATTGTGGTCAAGCACAGAAACGCAAACGCAAAGCGCCTGCTGAGCATAATACTGCTCTTGTTAAAGAAAGCACAATAGCTGAATGTGTATCTGTTTGGACTATCACCCACCGCTTTTCAAAAAGATGTTGTGGCGCCAAACGAACCTAGTCATGGATAAGTCTGCAATATCCTTTAATTAGCCTGATCTCGGAGAACTTAAAAATCTGGATCAAACCATACAAATTTGTATGCTGCTGTTTTGTTTTCCACAACAAATTTAGAAATTCGACAATTTATTGGCATTCTATTTTGATGTCAGTTTTTCGCTACCCAAATGTTCGTTAATATTGGGGGGAATACGCCTTTGGAACAATACAAAACACAATGTCAAGAAATCGCTTTGAAAAAATACGAGGAAATTTGCCTTTTAATTATAACAGTAAGTTGCCCTCCAAGGATTCTGCCGACCACCATCTGTTATAGAAAACAGAGCCGCTCGTGAATCATTTCAATGACTAGATTCACTTAGTTTCGATGCGCCAACGCTTATCTGTGGATGAACAAATGTGTGCAACGATGATGAAGACCTTTCTCAGACAATACCACTAACCATACAGAATATAGACAACCCATTTCATACAACGAAAATGGACGCAAATTTCTTGCGACAGGCCCCAGAGCGAGTTCGTACTCTCTTTCTTACGCTCATCGTTCGTTCATGGTTGATGTTATTTTGTGTTTACGGATCTTTCGCTCTAATAGATCCCACAAATGCTCTATTGGATTTAGATCCGGACTCTGAAAATGAACTCTGAACTCTCATACTTGAAAATGCTACTTCACAATTATAAGTAGTTCTAAAGTAAATTTTAAAAATTTCACTCTTTAGCTTGGGATAATTAATTTCTGAATTTCTAAAGGAATTCAAAAATCATTTTTTAATTATTAATCTCTTCGTGTAGTTTGCTATCTAAATTACTAATATCACAGGAAAGTGTAAAATTATGTAAGTCGAAAAGGGCAGTTAAAGAATTAAGATCCTGAAACCGGTTGTCAATGTTTTGTAATTAGGTCTTTATTTTATTTACAAAGTCTTTTATTTTTTCACAGTTATTAATATTTAATCCAAGAAACAATTCCTTAGTCTTTTCTAAATTTATATATATATTCTTCTCTGATTGATTTAGAAGTATTCTAAATTTTTTTTTTAAACATATCTATAGAATTAATTATATCCAAAACTTCTTTATTTTTGCCTTGCAAACATTCATAAGTTGAGATCATCAAATATACGTGGTTTATCACAGAAAAAGGCGAAATCTATTAAAAAATCTTTTTTTTTCAAATTAAGTAATGAGATCAACATCCTTTCCTAAAAATTTCAAAACATTTACCACTTCTTTTCATAAATTAAAAAGGCGTTCAAAACATTTTCCCCGACTTTACTAACTAACTTCCGTGTACATTAGTAAATCACCATATTCTGCTTTAAGCTCATCTAGAAATACCTTACACCTTATTAAAGAATTATGCCCCCCTCTTGTTCTATTTATTATTTAAACGCAAGCATTCATGACATGTACCATCTTTAACTCTTTTGAAAAAAGAGCTTCCTGATGAATTACTCAAAATAATTTGTAAAATATATTAGAAAAAAGGGTATCAAATAAAATTTGGCCTGTTACATGCCCATGAAGAGAAATTACATCATAAATATTCTCAAAAGAATATAAATTCTTATCTACGGTTTTCAAACATTTAACAAGTTGACAAATATTATTAACGTCCGTGCTTTCATCCAGACAAATTTAAAAATATTTATTCATTCAATAGCTTTTTCTTGTTTCAGAAAAAATAAATTTGGTTATTTGCTCTGTCCTACGCGTTATAGTACGGGGAGATAGTGGACATTATTTGCTTAATTCCAATACACCTTTCCCCACGTCTCCAAAACAAGTAACCACCTCCGAAATTAAATTTTTAAAAAATAGACCGTCAGAATATGGGCTTCTTGTGGGGGCATATTTACTGTAACAGTTTTTGAGTACGATCCTCAATTAATAAATTAAAACTAGAATGACTGGTTCTATAATGGTGTATATGATTAAAGAATACAAGAAAGGAAAGCTAACTTCGGGCGAAGCCGAAGTTGATATACCCTTGCAGATAAAACCGGATATATATCGCAAACATCGCATATAGTTGGCCGATCCTTATGAGAATATGATTGTCACCGCTTGGCCGATCACGGGAATGCCTTGTAACACTCGCAAATAGGACAGTTGTTGAAGTGATGTGTAACGAGCGTTTTATTCTAAAAGACAATTGTTCTTAACCTGATACATAATTACTTATCCTACATACCGCAGTTTCTCTTCCCCTTTCTGTGATGGCGCAAATCGATGTGCCTTATCCGCCAAATCATTTTTTTCAAGCTACCCGATTTAGTGTGTACAGATAACATAAACTTAAAACCTAAACATACAAAATACTGACATCTGACCCCTAACACTAATCTCAACTATCGATAGCCACTAGTTCGTTCCGCGACATCCCCACCCCCGTGAAGCAGCCGCATTCACCACGTCCAGGACAGCTAGCTTCGAAGCGGAACGCATAGTCGTCTTGGCTCGATCGGTAGTCCGCACCGCTGCTCGACGAGGTACTCCATCCTTCCCGGTGAACACCTTTTCCACGACGCCTCGTTTCCATTCCCTTCGTGGTATGGCTGGATCGCAGATGAATACCAGGTCTCCTCGATGGATGGGCTCGACGCGCTTGCACCATTTCTCCCTGCGCACAAGAGTTGGCAGGTACTCATGCACCCAACGCTTCCAGAAGCGATCGCGCATCATCCTTGCTATGCGCCACTGCTTCCTAGTAGCGGATCTCACGGGCTCCGGTCCATCATCCTTGGGGAGATATGGGATATCCGATGCTCCTTTTAGCAAATCGTTAGGCGTCAGTGGAGCCTCCTGGTCCACCGTCACCGGTAGATGAGTGAGCGGACGAGAGTTTACCATGCTCTCCGCCTCAATCAGCAGGTTCTCCAGTTTATACTCCTTGGGCGCGAGCTCCTTCATTGTGTGCGCCAGCACCTTCTTCACGCACTGCACCATCCTCTCCCAGGCACCGCCTTCAGCTGGGTTCGCCGGGCAGTTGAAGATCCATTCGACTCCCTTAGACGACAGCTCGCCCTGGATCTGTGCAGGCTCGAACACTTTACTGAACCTCTCGGCCTCGCGGTCGGCTCCAACGAAGTTCTTCCCATTGTCGCTCCTGATCCTGACCACTGGTCCACGGCGGCTCATGAAGTTCCTCATGGCGATTATGCAGGAGTCGGTGGACAAATCGTGAGCCATCTCCAAGTGGATAGCCCTCGTGGTCAGACACGTAAACAGTGCCACCCACCTCTTCTCTGTGCGACGTCCAATTGTCACAAGGAGCGGCCCGAAGTAGTCCAGGCCAGTAGACTTAAATGGCCATCCGTTGGCCTCTAGCCGATCCGCAGGCAGGGGGCCCATCTCGGGCTGTGTGGGTCGTGCCTTCCGCAGCTTGCAAACGTTGCATTTGCTCACCACCCTCCGTAGCAGTTTCCGCAAGTTCGTTATCCTGAACTTGCTCCGGATCGATCCGATCGTCGCCTCCGTGTTTTGGTGGCACATCTTTTCGTGGTGTTGCTGCACGATCATCTCTGCCAGCGCCTCCTCGTGAGACAGTATGATCGGCCGACGTGCGTTGTATGGCACACACGTCGCGTCGTCGATCCTTCCACTGGCTCTCAATACTCCGTCCTCGTCAAGGTATGGGGACAGTCCGTGCAGTCGGCTGTCCTTGGCGACGTTTCCTTGGCTGTCCTCGGCAAACGCTTCTCGCTGCGACTGCCGTATCAATGCGCGCTCTGCTTCAGCGCACTCCATCGCGGTCAATCCGAAGACCTCTTCATCGCGACGTATTCCACGGCATCGTCGAACAAATCTAAGCGCCCATGCAGTCGTCCTCACCAGTCGATTATAGCTGGAGAACCTCTGCAGGGATATAAAGTTTACCGTGACCAAGGCAAACTCACACTTCATTTCCTCGTCGTCGGTCGTCGGAGGAATCCAGTCCTCGCTCGATCTCGGCCAGCCCTCCTCTGGTCCTCGTAGAAACGGCGGTCCGTTTAGCCATCGCGAACCGATGCTCAGGTCCACGGCCTTGCGCGGCCTTGTCGCGTCATCCGCCACGTTTTCGGCGGACGGGATCCATCTCCACTGGGACGCCTCTGTCGATTCCAAGATCTCCGCCACCCGGTTTCCGACGAACTGTTTGTATCTCCGGTGGGTGTTGCTTATCCAGTGCAACACAGTCTTGGAGTCCGTCCATAGCGCACAGTTGCTGATCGCCACATCGTGCTCCTGCTTGACGGTGTCCATCAATCTCGTGCCCAATACCGCTGCTTGGAGTTCCAGACGCGGGATCGACATGGTTCATCGGGGCGCATTTCGTTTTTGGGCTTATGAAGTGCGCCTGCACGTCTCCGTTCTCGTACGTGGCCCGCCAGTAGGCCGCTGCTGCAAACGCCGATTGACTGGAGTCCACGAAGAGTGGCGCCAGTAGTGGCAAAGTAGTGGCGCGGGCATCGAAACTCCTGGACCCGACTCATCCCTTGCCGCCAATCCTCGAAGGCTGCGGCCAATTCATCCGGTAGCGGCTCGTCCCAGTTGACTCCTCTCCGCCAAATCTCCCTCAGCAGCAGTTTGGCAGTCACCATGTAGCAGCTCAGGAACCCAATCGGGTCAAACGTAGACATCACCAGGCTTAGGAACTCCCTCTTGGTAGGGACTCGTTCCCCCGTCATCACGTTCCTCGGGACTCGATGGTACTTGACGCCGAACTTGAACTCATCGGTAGCCGGCTGCCATTACATCCCAAGCACCTTCTCCTCAGCTTCGGTCCATCCGACGCTGGCGATGGGCTCAAGTGGGTTCAGCGCTTTGACCACACTTGCCGAACTGGAGGTGAATCGGCACAAATCAAAACCTGCTTCAGCGTGAATTTCTCTCACCCGGGTCGAGATGGCGATAGCTTCGTCCTCGCTGGCGAAACTGTCGACGTAGTTATCCACGTAGTGGTATTCGTTGATGGCCAGGGCTGCTCGCGGGTCCGTGCTGCTATACCGCAAAGCATTCACGGTCTTCACGTAGTCCTCCGAACATGGTGAGCAGGCCGCTCCGAACGTCATCACTGCCATCTCGTATACGTCCGGCTCTCGCTGGTCGTCTCCGTCTCTCCACAGAAACCTCTGGGCGCATCTGTCCTTCGGCTGCATCAGTACCTGATGAAACATCTCCTTGATGTCTGCACAAACTCCAACCGCTCCTTCCCGAAAATGGAAGAGCACTGCTGGCAGGGGCTTGTAGCGCTGTGGGCCTTTCAGTAGCGCTGAATTCAAGGACACACCGTCCACCTTGGCAGCCGCATCGAAAACCAGCCGGATTTTCCCAGGCTTGTTCGGGTTTTCCACTCCGAAGTGCGGCAGGTACCACACTTTGCCCTCCTGAAACCTCTGGACTTCCTGGGCCTTCAGTCGTCGTGCGTATCCCTTCATGACATAATCGTCCATTATCTGGATGTAAGCCGACGCGAAGTCCACATCGCGCTTCATTTTACGCTCTATGTTGACGAGCCTCCTGAGGGCCATGCTGTAGCTCTCCGGCAATCTCACTTCGTCGTCCTTCCATAGCAGCCCGGTCTCGTATCTCTGGCCTACACGTTTGGTCGTCTTCTCCAGGGTGCTCAGGGCCCGTGCGTCGCCGCTATCTCCGACTGACGGCTCCAGGTCCACTCTGCCAGCTGCGACTGGCTGCACCGGCTTCGCTCCGAAATTCTCAGTCTCGAAGTCGTCGCTGACCATCTTCTCCAGAAGATCATCCTGGGGCACGGCTAGGAGGCACGAACTCAGAAGCGGCGAGCTCGGCTTTCCGTTCACCGGTCCATATACCACCCATCCAAGTGCGGTGTCTGCTGCAAACGGCCCTCCAGATCCATAACTTTTGGTTCTGAAGGGTACTCCTAAATGCGCATGATCCAGTCCAATTAGGATCCTTGGCGTCGCGTTGTTGTACGGCATCACCGGCAGACGCGTGTTCGCCTTCACTGCTTGTACATCCTCCTGACGCAGGCTCTGCATCGGAAGGTTCAGATTGGCCACTCCGTACACATTTTTCAGCCCATGGCGCTTTGGTTTGCCCGCTGCGTTGATCTGCAGGCTGACCACCTTCGTGTGCTCTTTGGCGGATTTTCCACCAAACCATTGCACATTTAGCTGTCGACTCTCGCCTTTCAGGTTCAGGCTGTCGTCGATGAGTGTGACAGACGATCCTTCGTCCAGCAGTGCGTACGTGTCGACCTTCGTATTCTCGCCGTACAGCGTCACGGGTAGAATCCTGAACAGCAGGGTGCATCCAATTGAGTCGATGTTGAGGTTTCGGTGCGGCAACTCCTGGCGATCGTACGCCGATCGCCCTTCGTCCCGCTCACGTCGCGCGTCTACAACTGCGGCCGACGTAGGATGGTTCCTTTCGCTGGAATCCACTGACTGTGGACCTCCCCTCCGATTGTTGCCGTGTCTGTACGGCTGTCGGTCCTGATCCCTCCTGTGGCCCCCATCTGCGACTGGCGGCCGTTTGGATCGTTCAGGTACTTCGTGGAGCAGGTGGTGATGCCTCATCTGGCATCCGAGGACGTTGCATCCGCGGCTTTTCCTGCAGAACCGGGACATGTGTCCGGGCTCCAGGCACGAGAAGCACAGTCGTCGCTTCCTCGCGGACTCGATCCGTGTCGTTGTAGAGGCGCTGATGAAGTCCTTGCAGTCCCTGACCTGGTGTGTCCCTCGCATATAGGGGAGCATCTGGGGCGGTCGACATATTGCCCCTCCTCGCGAACACTATTCGCGTGCAGAATCCTTCGCTTCGGTTGTTCCCTGGCTCCGGCGTCCGTGACAGTGCACACCAGTTTGGCGAATTCATGGAGCCACTCGCTCAGGTGCGCCACCGTCGGATACGGCTGTATCGTGGCCGCGTGCCTTGCCCAGTCCAACCTCTTGCTTAGCGGCAACTTGGCTATCAGCTCCTCCATTAGGGTTGGGTTGGCTAGGTGCTGGCTGCCGGTCGCGGTCGACTGCAGGAACGCTGACAAGTTGCTAACCTTCGTCGCGAACGGCACGATCCTCGCGATGTTGGCCTCCTGAATCGGCTGCACTTCGCACACGCTCTCCAATTGGCTGCGGATCAGTTGCTCCGGGCGTCCATACCGGAATCGTAGCTGCTCCATAACAGCTTGTACGTTGCTGGGATGGATGAGCAACGACTTTACTGTTTCGCGAGCCTCTCCCTTCAGGGCTTTCACTAGCCTCTGGTTGTTCTCCAACTCGGTGCACTGGTAGGCTGCAGTTGTCTCCGTGAACGCACACAGGAATATTGGCCATTCCTCTGGCTGACCCTCGAAATCGGGAAGATCAGGTAGTATGCGTGGCGTCCATCCTTGTATGTTTGTCGTCGGCGCTCCATATGATATGGGCGATGGCGCAGGTACCTCTGGGTCAACATAACCTAGCACCGGCTGTGCTGCGGCGGTCACACAAGATGGCGGAGAATAGCGCAGTATTGTTGTTGTTGACACAGGATGTCCGTTTGCCCAATGGCCGCCAAGCGTCGGCGCCAAATTCGCACTCCATTGTGGCGGCAAATTTGTACTCACTTGTGCCGGAAACTGCAGCGATGGCGTCACTCCGAGATCCGTTTGCAGATTGTCCCTCATCTGCCTGGGCAGGTTTTCGCTCAAACTCTGCCGTGGCGCTGCTCCATGATGTGGCAGCGTTCCACTCGAACATGGCGGTGTATTCGCTGCACCGCTCACTCCAACGCCGCGTGCCCCGATTCCAACGGCGGCCTCTGCTTGTCCTCCACTTGCTCTTGCCTTCACCAGCTCCGACTCCAGACGTGCGATCCTTTCCATTAAGGCCGCCACTACAGTTGTGGAATCCGTAGTCTGCCCCGTCGCTTCGGGCTGCAGGTTACTTGCCGCTTTCCTGGCGGCTGTTCCACTTTCCTTCGGAGTCTGTGGCTTCTGCCGATCACTAGCCACACTCTCAGAGCTGGTCGCGGTGCCAGTTGCTGTGGCCGTGGTGGTCGCAGTTGCGGGAACGCCCGAGGCTTCCAGCCTGGGGCTCCGCCTGGGTGAGTGCTTCGTGGGCATCATCTTGCAGAAAATGCGAATAAAAGAATTTGTCACCGCTTGGCCGATCACGGGAATGCCTTATAACACTCGCAAATAGGACAGTTGTTGAAGTGATGTGTAACGAGCGTTTTATTCTAAAAGACAATTGTTCTTAACCTGATACATAATTACTTATCCTACATACCGCAGTTTCTCTTCCCCTTTCTGTGATGGCGCAAATCGATGTGCCTTATCCGCCAAATCATTTCTTTCAAGCTACCCGATTTAGTGTGTACAGATAACATAAACTTAAAACCTAAACATACAAAATACTGACATCTGACCCCTAACACTAATCTCAACTATCGATAGCCACTAGTTCGTTCCGCGACAATGATAATAAAACCAATTAATTACAATAAAATATCTAAAAACAAGAAAGGAAAGCTAACTTCGGGCGGAGCCGAAGTTGATACCCCCTTGCAGTTAAAACCTGATATATATCGCAAACATCGGATACAGTTGGCCGATCCTTATGAGAATATCATAATAAAACGAATTAACTAAAATAAAAAGTCGAAAAAAAGTCACATGCTTCTATCTTCAAATATGCGAAAGTTGATATTTCTACCAAATACTATTTCCGATCGTTCAGTTATATGGCAGCTATAGGATATAGTCGGCCGATCCTAATGAACTTAGGTAGGTTGGATCGACTAAAACTAGAATCTGTACTAAATTCCAGTTTTCTATCATCAAAAACACGAAAGTTGGGTCATTTCCGATCGTTCAGTTATATGGCAGCTATAGGATATAGTCGGCCGATCCTTATGAAATCTGGCATGCGTAATGTTTTGCCACAAATAGCTCTCGTGTCAAATTGGAACTCTCTTACCTTAAAAACACCAAAGTTATACCATTTCCGATCAATCAGTTATATGGCAGCTATAGGATATAGTCGGCCGATCCCGGCCGTTCCGACTTATATACTGCGTGTAAAGAATAGAAGGGTGTGTGCAAAGTTTCAAGTCGAAGCTTTAAAACTGAGAGACTAGTTTTCGTAGAAGCAGACAGACGGACATGCTTATATCAACTCAGGAGGTGATCCTGATCAAGAATATAAATACTTTATAGGGTCGGAGATGTCTCCTTCACTGCGTTGCACACTTTTAACCAAAATTATGATACCCTCTGCAAAGGTATAACAATTAAAATATAATATAAATAGATTTCAAACAAGAAAAAAAGTGGATGTCTTGAGCCTGATTTCAACTTGCTTCACTCTGCACATCAGTCAAGCCCTCTACCACGCAGCTATCCATTCATTCGTTGTCGCGCGAAAATTTTCTTAAGCTTAACTTGTCGCGCTGTGGAACATACTTATATACTCCAAGTATACATATAGGTATGTAATCTTGTCTTTCGTGAGAGCACGACCGAATGCCCATGCAAAGAGTGCGTTTATAGTACATATATTATAAGAATACACGCGGAGTTTATCTTTGTAAATCTCATCTAAAAATGCGAACCCACAAAAGTGGCCAACGCGCGATGAGAAGTTTTCACTTCAAAAACAAGAAAGCAAAGCTAACTTCGGGCGGAGCCGAAGTTGATATACCCTTGCAGTTAAAACCGGATATATATCGCAAACATCGGATATAGTTGGCCGATCCTTATGGGAATATGAATATATAATCCAATTTATTACAATACAAAATCTAAAAAAAAGTCCCAAACTTCTATCTTCAAAAATATGAAAGTTGATATTTCTACCAAATACCATTTCCGATCGTTCAGTTATATGGCAGCTATAGGATATAGTCGGCCGATCCCGGCCGTTCCGACTTATATACTGCGTGTAAAGAATAGAAGGGTGTGTGCAAAGTTTCAAGACGATAGCTTTAAAACTGAGAGACTAGTTCGCGTAGAAACAGACAGACGGACAGACGGACGGACAGACAGACGGACAGACGGACATGCTCATATCAACTCAGGAGGTGATCCTGATCAAGAATATATATACTTTATAGGGTCGGAGATGTCTCCTTCACTGCGTTGCACACTTTTGGTCAAAATTATAATACCCTCTGCAAGGGTATAAAAAGAATGGCCACTTTACCCTCTAGTGCCCAAGACCGCCTCGGGTAATGTTAAAAATACTATACTATTTACGATACTATATTTCTTATTTTTGTTCGATATTTTATTCTTTTCATTCCTTTTGACTCGGTTTTGCGATTTTTCGAATTTGGGGAAGTCCAAAAATTAAGTTGGTTGCGTTTGGAATACATAATAGAGCTTGCGCAGGCTGATGTATTAATTTCAATCAGAAAATTTGTGAAACTCGTACGAAGCAATTATTTTGTAAGAAGTGCAAAATGTAAATATTTTTTTTAAACATTATATATAGTTTGCTGCTGGAAAAAAAATTGTGCCGTGTTACTAATAGTCTAAAAATACGCAATATACGAAACCCACACTAACATTAAGTTTTCGTTAGCTTTTTATTGCTTGTCTAAAATGTCCCGTCTAGAAGTGGCCTTGGTAAAATTCGGGGTAAAAAATTATAAGTTAAGTTTTGAAGAGAAACAACCTGAAACACATTTAAGCACAAATAATTGCTTCAGTAGACATAAAACGACGACAAGTGAATAAGCGATCAGTTCTTTCCGACGTGAAGATTGAAAAATTATTTAATTTTATTGATTTCGACATTGATACGGATGGAGAAGAATTGGAGGACGATTTGACTAATGACGTTTGCGTGGCAGCACTTCCTGTTAATGAGGAAAATGAAGAAGCGATTGAAAAGTGCTACATATGTGGGATTATATTTTGCCTACAAAGATTTGTGTAACTTCAAGCGGAAGGGTTACTTCTTTTGCAAAATTGTGGTCAAGCACAGAAACGCAAACGCAAAGCGCCTGCTGAGCATAATACTGCTCTTGTTAAAGAAAGCACAATAGCTGAATGTGTATCTGTTTGGACTATCACCCACCGCTTTTCAAAAAGATGTTGTGGCGCCAAACGAACCTAGTCATGGATAAATCTGCAATATCCTTTAATTAGCCTGATCTCGGAGAACTTAAAAATCTGGATCAAACCATACAAATTTGTATGCTGCTGTTTTGTTTTCCACAACAAATTTAGAAATTCGACAATTTATTGGAATTCTATTTTGATGTCAGTTTTTCGCTACCCAAATGTTCGTTAATATTGGGGGGAATACGCCTTTGGAACAATACAAAACACAATGTTAAGAAATCGCTTTGAAAAAATACGAGGAAATTTGCCTTTTAATTATAACAGTAAGTTGCCCTCCAAGGATTCTGCCGACCACCATCCGTTATAGAAAATAGAGCCGCTCGTGAATCATTTCAATGACTAGTTTCAATTAGTTTCGATGCGCCAACGCTTATCTGTGGATGAACAAATGTGTGCAACGATGATGAAGACCTTTCTCAGACAATACCACTAACCATACAGCATATAGACAACCCATTTCATACAACGAAAATGGACTCAAATTTCTTGCGACAGGCCCCAGAGCGAGTTCGTACTCTCTTTCTTACGCTCATCGTTCGTTCATGGTTGATGTTATTTTGTGTTTACGGATCTTTCGCTCTAATAGATCCCACAAATGCTCTATTGGATTTAGATTCGGACTCTGGGGCGGTGTTCGCAGCTGGTTTTTGACATTTTAAAGCAGTCAGAGCTTTGTATTTAGGGCCGTGGCTTCGGGTCATTGTCTTGCTGGAACCAATATGGCCAATACCATACATATATATGTGTGTCTGCGCGCACGACGGCGTAAAAATGTTTTGGCTTCCAAATTTCAATTTCAATTTCTCGTTTCTGTTTTCAATGCGCCGATGTAGTAGTTAGTAAAACAAATAGTATTTTTAATCGCTGCAGATCGAGACAGGGTGGTAGCGTAATTCATAGAGTAGTTACTCTATGTAAAATTTTTCTTTCTTTTATATTTATTATTTTTATACCCTTGTAGAGGGTATTATAATTTTGGTCAAAAGTGTCTGTCTGTCCGTCTGTCTGTCCGTCTGTCTGTCCGTCTGTCTGTCCGTCTGTCTGTTTCTACGCAAACTAGTCTCTCAGTTTTAAAGCTATCGTCTTGAAACTTTGCACACACCTTTTTTTCCTTTGCACGCAGTATATAAGTCGGAACGGCCGGGATCGGCCGACTATATCCTATAGCTGCCATATAACTGATTGATCGGAAATGGTATAACTTTTGTGTTTTTAGAGTTAGAGAGTTCAAATTTGACATGAGAGTTATTTTTGGCAAAACATTACGTCATGCCAAATTTTATAAGGATCGGCCGACTATATCCTATAGCTGCCATACAACTGAACGATCGGAAATGACCCAACTTTCGTGTTTTTGAAGATAGAAAGAAGATGGAACTTAATACAGATTCTATTTTTGGTCAGTTAATCCAACCTACCAAATTTCATTAGGATCGGCCGACTATATCTCATAGCTGCCATATAACTGAACGATTGGAAATGGTATTTGGTAGAAATATCAACTTTCGTATTTTCGAAGATAGAAGTTTGGGACTTTTTTTAGATTTTGTATTGTAATAAATTGGATTATATATTCCTATTCAGATAAGGATCGGCCGATGTTTGCGATATATATCCGGTTTTAACTGCAAGGGTATATAAACTTCGGCTCCGCCCGAAGTTAGCTTTCCTTTCTTGTTACAACAATTTTAATAGAATGCAACTGAAATTAATATTAATAAAGTAAATATGAAGAGTAAAAAAAATATGTATAA